GCAGGTGTGCCCAGATGGGGGGAATTAGTGGCCAGGATTTTTCAAGTAGAGGGCATCTCGTGTTATCGTCGTCTTGCTGGTCATACTTTTCGCTCACCAGCCACCCCCCACCCCCCCAGGGAAACGAGCCACAAATCAACAATTCTTAAATCTTTTCTGGCCGACGCTCTCCCCGAACGTGGATAATTCCATTCACTCGGGGTCCCGCTTGACCTTGGATGGCAACGACGGCGAGCCGATGATAATGGCACCGGCCAGAACAGCTACCTCTGCCGCGTCCCCGCCAGGCTGAGTGAGTTACTCCGCGGATCTCAGGACGCAGACCAGGAGTCTTGGGGTCACCCCAGAAGCAGAGTTTAAGAACGTGAAAATGTGTCCTTTCCCTGGGCGGTGATTCTAGAGGCCCCGGGAGGAAAGTAGGGAAATGGGACTGGGATGGGAAAGAGTCGGTGCTGGGTACTGGGGTGGGCGCTGGGGCTGAATCCCACTGGGCATCGCTGGAAGGCAGTTTGGAAGAAGTGGCTCAGAGCTCTCCTCCCAGCCTGCCCTCCACTTGGGTGAGGGGGAAAAAACTCTTCAGGCGAAGAATTCCAGGAGATTACAGCGAGTGAGGTCAAAGCCAAGGGGATGTGGATAGCGTGCTGACAGCCCTTTACTACTTCCGTTTTACCGAGGAGGAATTTGAGGCTTACAATGTCGCCGCCAAGAATCAACCCCAGGTTCCTCTCTCTCCGGAGCCCTGCTCTCTATCGCTCTGCTATACTGTTTTAGACCTCGGGTTGCCTCTAGTTTAACAACGTTTCAAGCTAATACACTCCCCCAATTTTTTTTTCAATTGTAAGACCTTGCACCTGACTCAAAATTAACTCCCAACTGTCTCAAAGACCCAAACGCAAAACCTAACACGGTTAGGAAAAAGCATGGGAGAAGTGTTTGGATTAGGCAAAGATTCCCTAGCTAGAACACCAAAAGCAAGATTCATAAAAGAAAAATGGGTAAATTGGATTTTGTCAGCATTTAAAACTTTGCTCTTTGAAAGCTGCTGTTACGGGAATGAAGAGAAAAGCCACAGACTAGGAGAAAAGGTTGGAAAACCTCATATCTGATAAAAGATTTGTTACCAGCATATTCTAACGAACTCTCAAAACAATAAAATAAGCAACCCATTTTTTTTTTTTTTAATTAACGATCATTTCTTTTTTAGAGACAGAGACGGAGCACGAGTAGGGAGGGAGCAGAGAGAGAGAGAGGGAGATGAAGAATCTGAAACAGGCTCCAGGCTCTGAACTGTCAGCACAGAGCCTGACGGGAGCCCGGTGCCCGATGCCCGATGTGGGGCTCGAACTCAGACCGAACGCGCAGACCGTGAGATCATAACCTGAGCCGAAGTCAGAGGCTTAACCGACCGAGCCACCCAGGGGTCCCGGCAACCCAGTTTTAAAAAACACTCCTCACTGAGGTATTTTTATACATGTACAATGAGTGAGCATTAAGGTAGTTATCTTGGATAATCCATTCAAGGAAGCTCACTTAATCCAACTTAGTGAAGCCTGTATCCTTCACTTCATAGTGACGGAGACACTGGCGGGCACATATTGAGCCGTATTTTTGGAGCAGACTGTGCCAGTCTGAGCAGACACAGCAAGAACGAGAACCCTGGCCCAGCTTCTTCGGCTCCAGTAAAGCTGCCGGTGACCATCTTGCTCTCTCAGACGCAACGAGGCAATCCGTTTCTTTCAATGGGCAAAAGATCTGAAGAGACAGGTCACCAAAGGAAATATTCAGGTGGCAAAGGAACACGTGAAAGGATGCCCCACGTCATTATTCATCAAGGGAATGCAAATGAAAATCACACCGCGCACATGACAGAATGGCCCAAATGAAAAAGGCTAACCATGCCATGTCCTGGCAAGAACGCGGAGGAAACGAAACTCTCATTCATTGCCGGTCGGGTTGACACCCGGCACAGCCACTTCGGAAAATCGTCTTGGCAGTTTCTTAAAAACTGAGACGCACACCTCCCATGTAACGCAACCATCCACTCCTGGGTATATACCCAGGAGAAAGGAGAGCGTCCGTGCACGAAAATACTTGCTCCCAGAAGTTCACGGCAGTTTTATTCGTGATCGCCACAACCGGAAACAGCCCAAATGCCCACCAGCAGGTGAGCGTATAATTGAGCTGGCATATTCAGGCAACAAAAGTCTACTCAGCAGTAAGAAGGAAGGAGGTATTAATGCAGCCACATGGATGAATCAAAATAATTATGCTGAGCAAACGAAACCAGTCTCGAGAGGCTGTATGCTGCCATTTCTACAAAATTCCAGAGAAATGCAAGCGAATCTAAAGACAAAAAGCAGATCGGTGGTTGCTGGGGGATGTTGGGGGTGGGGCGGCTGACCAGGGGGTGCAAAGAAACATGGGTGGTGATGGGTGCTTTCACGCTCCAGATTGTGATGGTTTCGTGGGTTTACTCAAAACCCATCAAATTGTACACTTTAAAGGTGGACAGCTTATTGTATGTCAGTGATACCTCAACAAAACTTTGTTTTCAGGCACTTGAGAAAGTTAATCAAAATATTTCAAGTTAAAAATAATCACAACATTTGGGGCGCCTGGGTGGCTCAGCCGGTTAAGCATCTGACTTTGGCTCAGCTCATGAGCTCGTGATGTGTGACTTTGGGCTTGGGATTCTCTCTCTTGCCCTCTCTCTGCCCCTTCCCCATCTGTCTCCTACATGGCCACAGAAACGTAACGAATTGGGTTGACAAAAGCTTTATCACCTGTTGATGGTAACGATGAAGAAATGGGGTACCAAGAGAGTAAGTGCTTTGCCTGAGGTTATCTGGCTCATAGGTGAGATTTTATATCTTACTCTGTACGAGGCCCATTTTCTCCCACTGAAATGATTTCCTCTCGGCTCAGGATTCTTATTTAGAGAGACCAAGCACCAATGACAGACCCCAGGTACCCACCGAAGCCCTCGTCTCACCCTTCACTCAGCCAGATTCTCCATGGTCTCAAAGTTACTGCTTCGGGAAACATGCTAAAAGCACCCCCAAACAGTGAGGACAGCCGTTCATTTAAGGTAAGTCTGCTTTCGAGAAAGCCCTGCCTGGCCACGAAGCTGTCCACTTTGACCCAGTGGTAGAAAATTGCTACCATATTTATGGAAAGTTCAATGGGGACTTGGTCTACACGTCTGTTGGAGAGATTCCGCTCCAAGAATTTGCTGCACATTTCCAGATGTCTGACCCTACTTTTCCTGCTGCATTTATCAAGAGCCCGGCACCTCTGGCTGAATTTTGTGCACCAGACTCTCTTAGATTCCTGTTCCCTCCCTGATTCTCAGTTTTCCTTTGCCTTCTCAAAAAAAAAAAAAATCCTCTGTCTTTTCATCGTTTTTTGTTTAAGTTTATTTACTTTGACAGAGACAGAGACAGTGTGAGCAGGGGAGGGGCAGAGAGAGAGAACCCCAGGCTGGCTCTGTGCTGCCAGTTCGAGCCACCTGTGGGGCTTGAACCCACAAAACTGTGAGATGAGCCGAAACCAAGGGTCTGACGCTCAACCGACTGCGCCACCTAGGCGCCCCTACAATTTTTAAATAACATGCGGATAATGTTTGTTATTTCTGAGGGTTGTTGAGAGGATTTGGGAAGGTGGAGTGTGTTTCCGCATCTACCAGGGGGGCTGGAATGAGGGAAGTACTCGATAAAAAAGATAACATTTGTCCCCCTCAGTGAAGGGCACTTACTGCCCCAGCCCTGGCACCCCGCCCCCCCTCCCCGGCACCCCAAGCCTTTTATCCTGCTTGACTTAATCTTCTTTTTTTCATGGCACTAAGAGCTTGTTTATATATGACATTAGGGTTCTCACCCTCAGCATTATGGACATTGGGAGTCGATGGTTTTTGGTGGGGGGCGGGGGGCGGGGGGGGGTGTCCTGTGGGTGTCCTCCACCCTCCACCTACTGTGATAGTCACAAATGTCTCCAGACATGGCCGCGGGTCTCCTGGGAAGCATAATCGCCCCCGGTCAAGAACCACGAGGCTACACAACTTAACTTTTTCGTTATGTTCATTATTTCTTTGTCTGTCCCTCTCTACCCCCACCTGGAATGCTTGCTCTGAGAAGGAAGGAATTTGCTTGTTTGGGTGGGGCACTGATGTGTGCCCGGTTCCTAGATTGATGCCTGGCCCAAGGTAGGTGCCCAATATTTATTGAAAGAATGAACATTTGGTGGGCTTTGTGCTCAGGGGTGGACATGCATAAGCTCACGTCTTTATCTTGGCATCCCTCGGGGGGAGGCCATGTCACTCTCCCTCACTGTCCCCCTTTGCACAGAGGAGAGAAGCTGAGGCTTCCAGAAACTACACACATACATCCCCACTCACCCAATGCAGAAGCTTAGCTGGCCACCACCCAACAGATGTCTGTGTTCTCCCTTCTGGCCAAGAAGGATTGAGTCAAGGTCAAATCGGGGGTCAAATCCAGCCTCCAGGCACCTGCAGGGGAGTTGAGGAAGGAAGCTGAGCTGGCCTGGAGGGCCAGGCCTGAGGAGACTTTCTCAGGGCCACAACTTGGCTGGGTTCAACCTGCTCCTCTTGGGAAGGGGTCTGGCCCCCACACCTATAAGAGATGGGGGTGAGCTCCAAAATGAAGCCCCCAGTATCCTTAGGGAGATGTTGCTGCAGCTACCGGGCCAGGGAGGCTGGAACTGCGTGCGTGCGCACACACGCGCACACACACACACACACACACACACACCACTCCCCACCCCTCTCCACTCCCTCTGGCCCTTCTGCCCCCTCACCTCTAACTCCACTACCCCTCAACACACGCACACCATTCACATATCCTAAACCGGCCCAGGTGTGCACTGTGATTGGTCCGTGAGTCCCTGAAATTTTCAGGAACAGACGGAGAGAAGGGAAAAGGGAGAGAGATGGAAAGGAAGGAAAATGAGCTTGGAGACCAGCAGGGGGCTCTACATTTATATCTATGCCCAGGGCCGGGCGCCTGCTCACCATGGACACTGCCGGGTACAGCAAGTGGGACAGCAGGCTCGAGGAAGTCCCTGGAGGTATGAGCAAAAAGACAGCCTCCCCGGCCCCCTGGGGTCTCTCAGGCCAGGGTTTGGGGGTTTGCAGTAGAACAGGGAGGAACAGCCAGAAAGGGTCGTGCAGTGGTGCAAGAAGAATTTTCCTGACCAGAACCAGCCCTGCATACAAAGGTTCAGATTCCTATCTGCCACTTAGAAGCTGTGTGTGTGGAAACAGATTTAGCCTTGCCCCGTCTCACCGAGGAATCTGGGTTCCCTGGGAGGAACGAGCACCCAGACTCTGTCCTCCAGGGGGCAAAGTCCAGGAGCAGTCCTGGTGGAGGGACCCACCGAGGCCCATCCTCTGTGTTATCCCAGGGAGGCACCTGGGGCGCGGCAGCTGGGGGCCGAGGGAACTCTCCTGGCCCCTGGTGCTGGTGGCAGCATGCCAGCCTGCATGGGCCCTCGCATTTTGGTATCCCTATTCTTGCCACAAGGGTGGTGACGGGCTCAGCCAATGTAAGGAGGAGGCCCCAGAGTGGTGAACCTTCCTCTGTCTCAGGACGCCCAGCTGGGTCCCGGACCCCTGTCCGAGAAGATGGGGGGTGTGGTTTTGCAGTGAACAAGAGTTTGTGCATCTTTGGGCTGTGTGCACCACCTAATGTGTACGCCTTGTAAGTGCATGTCTCCCTGAAGCGTGTGTGTGTGTGTGTGTGTTATTGTGTGTGTGCACATCACGTGCGCTGTAACGCCTGCCCGTCCCTTCTGGCCTCCGGAGGTGGGGCTCCTCCCCCTGGGCAGGGGGAGGGGACTTCAGTACCACCTGCAGGGAGCCTCTCTCCACAGCCTCACAGGCAGGGGCGCTGTTCGGCCACCAGGGACCTGCTGAGGACAAACGGTGCGTGCCAGAGAACGGTGACTCACGGTGACTCTTAGCGCCTCCCCCCCCCCCAGATGTAGGGGGCCAGGGGTGTCTGGGACCTACTGGAACAGGAGCAGTAGTGGGTGGGTGAGTCCCCTTCGGTCCCAGGGGGAGGTTTGTTGGCTTCTTGGAGTGGGGGAGGTGTGTCTCTTTGAGTCCCCACAGATGACACAAGGTGTGGGGGCGTGCGGGGGTCATTCAACCTCGAAGAAGCAGAGAAAGACGTGGGTGATTTTGAACGCGGAAGGAGGTCCAAACCTGTAGCTACTGCTGTATGGAGCATTTTTGTGCATGTGCGGGGGCTGGGCTTGGAGCCGGGTGGCCTTGGAGGGGCGGCTTGAGCCGGGATGGTCTGCAATGGCCAAGGGGCGGGGCAGGGGCAGGTTGTGGTCACCGATGTCCCGCGCCTATCCTCCCATCACCTTCCCAGGCTCAGGGTTCGGCTACTGCTGCTAGAAAGGCGCGCTTGCGCGGAGCTGGGGAGGGGAGGCGCGCAGGCAGAAGCTGATGGTCATTTGCAGGAGGAAAGAGCCCCTCAAAGAACTGAGCGATCGCGGTGAGAGCTGGACATTGCCTCCTGATCCCTCCTGGCTGCACTCAGCCACTGACTCACATACCAACACCTATCTGAAAGGGGAGATTTGCGACCCCCCTCCTGTGATCTGACCTCTGACCGCTTGTCTGATCTCATTCCAACTCTAACCCCAAGCAACTTGGCTAACCAGCCTTATGTGTGATTCAGTCATGACGGTGATGTCATTCTTGACCTGTGACCATGACCCGGACGTGGATGCTGACTTTACCATGACCTACTCCCGACCCTGACCTGACAGGCATAATCTGGACTCTCCCTTGACCTCGCAGTGACAGAGCTTGGCTGTGAAGCGAGCAGGGACCGCGGGCAGACATCATGAGCTGAAGCTCCTCCAGGGCTCTGGAGGCCGCCCGGCTGGGGGGCAGTGAGCAAGACAGAGGGGAGAGGAGGGGACAAGTGGACCCCTACATTAATGGGCCTCGGGATGCCTGTCTGCCCTTGCTGACCTTGACACATTCTCTGTGGCTCCGCCCCTGAGCCTCAAGGTCCACCTCCCCCCTTTTTTCCATCTGCTGCTCTGCAGAGGCAATTCACCTCTTTGAAGCTTAGCCCAGCCATCCCACAGGCTCTGTGGTGCCCACATCATCGTGGCTGCCCTTCCAGGGCTCCTGCCACCTTTTCTCCATCCTGCAGGCCACGTGGGAGGCAGCACACCTGCCTCGTATCTGTAGTGATAGTGGGAGTTACCTATGGAGGGTGGTGATCCCAAGGTCCCAGGGGGAGGGGAGGTGGAGGTGTTGATTCACACCTGAGGGGTACAGGAGAAGCGGGGCGGGGGAGCAGGCGGCCCGGAGGCCAGTGTCACCCCCGCGCAGGGGAGCTTCCTGAGTCAGTCGGAGGCCCACACATACACGGCCGCATGATTTTAGCTGGGCTTTGAGGGCGTGCCGCGCGCGCCAGATCCAGGAGAACTTTACAGTGGGTGAGCAGTCCCCACACATCGCTTCAGGGGAAGGGACTTGGGGAGAGGACGGGTCAGGCCCCAAGGGGCAGTGCTGTGGCTTGAACCTGTGGGGATGAGCAGGCTGGACCCCAGGACCTGGCAGGAGGGTTTAAATTCCGGAGTTTAGAAAGCTGTCTCCCGATTTGCACTCAAGTTAGACTCAGGTGTCCACCAAGTTTGGACTGGCTGTATGTGGCTCAGCAGGATGATCG